CAGCATGCTGAAAAGTGATGAGAAAGAATCTGCTCAGTTTAACTCAACTGGAGCTCATTTGCACTCAACAGCCATAACTTAAACATGGTGCAGAGTGTTAGAAAGATGAGAGATTGTTTAACACTAGAAAGGCCCTGCCAATGTTAGCTGATCCTGTTTTTAAAGATAAGTCCTGCCATGACTTTACTGAGGCCAATTTAATGTATGAATCAATGTAAAATATCCCAAATCAGGCATGGAATTAATGTTTATGTATGTCTCCCTCCTTCAGATGTCATCTTGGTCATCTTTTTAGTGTGAAGAGTTACTTTTTGCAATGTTTTCAAAGTGTTCTTAGCTCATGCTTGTGTACAAAATAATGGATTTGCATGAGAACACAATCACAAAAAAAGGCTTGCACGTTTGGTGATATATCTATTTCTCGCCTGAGCTTAACACCATAACATTCTCTACATGTTTCCCCCTCCTTCCTTATAATCTGGTCTGTCCACATTCATCACAGTTTGCATGACACAGTGGAGTGCCTGCTTTGTGAGCACGCAGCAGAAATAATTACACCGTTATTGGCTACCTGACACGTGTAACAGGAGGTGAATACCGGTGCGACAAGCAGACGTGGTCGGGTTAGGTTTTTATTTAGAACAAACAAACTCTGCCTTAAGCCCAGAGAGGAAATAAAAGCCCCGACTATTATTCATTACCTGGAAATTAAATAGCACAGCGATTCATCAAGGCTGCAGAATTATTCAATGATAATCCTCAGAGGCTTTCACAAGCCAAAGTCTCGCACACAGAATACATTCAGGGATGAATCCTGGTTGGGAGCTATGTGTCTTTTAAGCTTCCCAGCTGTAAATGATGCAGTTAATCACTTTGTATAAATAAAATCATCACGAAAGACATTTACTCAAGTACTGTATTTATATTTCATGCTACTTTATACTTCACTACATTTTCAAGGCAAACACTGCACCATTTTACTTCACTGCATGTATTTGATAACTTAGATCATTAACACAAAAATATAAATCAACTAATAAATGATGATGAAGTCACCTAGCAGTATATAAAGCAATTAAAATGAGCTCCACATTTACCAGCTGCAGCATTAAAGTGATGAACACACTAATGCATCACTCCGTAATAGACTATAATGTACTTTATTCTGAGATAGGCCATTCTACATACCGAGTACTTTTACTTTTTGTTCTTTAAGTACAGTGGTGTAGTGGACGGTATACATTTTTATATGAAATGAATATATGGAGGAGTAAACCTACTTCCTCCTCTGCAACCTACCCATCTACCTAGTCGTACACCCACTTCATCAACACTGTTAAAGTATATTTTGATGCTCATACTTTTGTACTTGTACTTTTACTTTTACTTATGGTAAAATACCTGAGTACTTCTTCCATCACTGACTATAAACAAATACTGTAAAATAAAGATTTCTCCAAACCTGGCTGTGTTGTGTAATGGCATCCTTGGTAATGAATGCGCAAATGCAAATGTGTTATTTCAACAGACTAATTTATTTCAAATAATTTTAGGTGACATTTTGAATCCGCAATTTGATAAATGATTTAAAATGTGTGGGGCTTTTTTTTTTTCAACAAGTTTTAGGCTGTCTACTATTATTATCAGAGTCAAACTTTGAAACTAGCAAAGTCTCTTAATAATTCAATAATTACCCGACCACAACTTTCTGCATCTGTACAGTGACTACACAGTTAAGCAGTTAAATCCTCTTTTTAACAAAGCAGTGTTTTCATATAATTCTGGTTGTATGGCTTCTGTTGTTTTGGATGGTGTAACTGGTGATCAGCTGTAAGGGCCAGTGCCGATCCCGCAGGCAAAGAAGCCCGTTTAGGCTCCTTAACTGCCCCTAATGTCAGTATTTCTTGAATTTCTGGTGACCAAATGATGTTGTATGTGTGACAGTAATGGTACCCAGCTGCCAAACATAGTGAGGCAACAGTAGTACATTGCATAGTCCCTTTATAGGAGGTTTAATTGGGTTTATAATTGTCACAGCAAAATTTGCCAATATGAGTAGCCATCATTGGGCTCCATACATTTGCCTGGTTTGCCTCTCCTGATGATGGTGCCCCTGGTGAGGACCATTGAAAATATTCCTAACTGGGAAACCAAGTGAAGTGAAACCTCCCAGAATAAATAAAAGGGATATTCTTGAACTGAATTCTGAAGACACCCAAAGGCGTTTATGTGGAGGGTCTGCTTCACAGACTTAGCATCTTAAGCCAGTCTTTTACTCTCCACTGCATGAAGGGTCAAATACTCACCCTGGGAAATATATACTGTATCTGATTATAAAGTATTGGGGGGTAAAAGTAGACGCAATACGTGCAAGAGATGTCAAGTGACATTCTGCTGATTGGTGAAGACTTTAACAAAGTCCTTGATCTCGAGCTCTTTCGCAGGACCACCACAGCTGAGAGGTTAGCTCGAGGAGTAAATAAGATTCTGCTCTTTACAGATATGTGACAGCAATGGCACCCAACAGAAAGAAACACTTTCCTGTTCCTTCTGCTTCTTCGTGCTGTAAAATGTTTTATGTCAAGAGCTGTGAGACTGAGAGGTCAAGAGATTTAAAACTGTGATTCAATCCCGTTTCCTCATGCAAAATGCTTTTGGAAGTTGGTGTTTATGTTTATGTTGTTTATGTTTATGTTTATGGGAAGAAATGACAACTAAATATTAGATTCATGAGCTTTTTGGCACCTTTGAAATCTCTATCTGACTGCCTGTCGATAACAGTTATGGCTTCATCTCGGTGAAAACAGTCAAAACATAGCAGCAGAAGTTGTAGACAAAATTATTTAATGACTCCATCAAAAATGAATACAGCATCTTGACCAGACTGAGCTTGTTTGGAATATCATAATAAGGACTTTCAGTGCTAAAATACCTGATGAATGACTGGCCTTGTATCACTTCAATGCCCCGAGAAGATGAAGTGCTTATTTTCTTTGGATGATGCAACTTCAAAAAGATATAATGAATGAGTTCAAAATGTAGAAACACACTTTGCTCAAGGACCTCGTCATATCAAAGCATTCGAAAGTTTTCAGAAGGACACTTCCTGCGGCAGGGACGCCCTCTCACCTTTGTTCACCTTGGTTCTGAAATATGTGAAACATACACTAGTCAGGACTCTCAACCACAATGTCGCTGTGGATCAAGGTGTTGATTGCACGCTGAGAAACTCTTAAGTGTGATAAACATCCTTCCAAAATTCAAGGAAAAGCTTGAGAGGCATGTGTCCAGAACATCTACTCCCAGCTGAAGAGTAAACCGAAAGGAGAAACATGTCACCCTGCACTGATTTAAACATGGGCGTAGATTCATTTCACTGAGTGGGACATATATATACATATTTGTATGCACCAATTTGTGCCTTTTCTGCATTAATTTATGACGTAAGTATCTTTTATTTGGTCAAACTGAAAGCCCTCTGCTACTTTAATGTGTTTTACTGGGGAGACAAATACACTAAATATTCCCCTCCCCCTCAAATCTACACCTATGCCAGATTTGATTTCACAAATACAGCAAAAAATATCCTTAAATTTATTCCAGCAGACACATTTTATGCTGTAAAAGTGTCAATTGTTTTTTTCATAACCCTTAAAAAATGTTGACTAATGAGTGTGCTCTTAAAATGTCTTTATTGATGTAATTACAATATAATGAGCATTGTTTGCCTCTATTAATAACCAGAGTTTTGTATTTCTGAAGATGTAATCAACACCGGCAATCTTCAGCCAAGGTCCAATTAAACACAGGCCAACATGAGGAAAAAGACCCTGCTGTGTTGAAATGTGATACAGTGTAATCACAGTGTCATTGGAGAGCTGTAATATGGATATGTGACAAAGATTGTTTTTTTTTTTCTCACTCAGATAGTTAAAACTAAATTTGTCATCCCAGAAATTGTTTATGATCACAGTCGCCCCAGAAAGCCTCAGAGGGAGCTTTGACGTGGGATTTTCATGATCTTCTAAATTTATATAATATGGCAACATCTGTCCGTAATTATGAAGTTTATTTTGGAGGGTGAGTTCGGTTCCAGCTTTAGCACACAGTGACGCACAGAGGAAAACATTAACACTGTCAAAGAAATATCAGAAATGTTTGTTGGTATTGTTGAAGCGTTTCCTGTCTGGAATCAAAGATAAAACATAAAAAACCCTCAATATCACGCTGCTGTGTTAAAGCTTTGGTTTGTGCATGCTTCTGCTGGAACACACAGCTGAAATGGAAGTGGACACACGCTCGCCTTTTTAAGTCCTTTTACTTTAGCACCGCTTTAAAAAGTATCTCCCCACTTTCCGCTGATTTCAGTGTGCTTACTTCATCATTCACAATGGGCAAAGAATGAAAACATGGGCTTTGGAAATTTCTTTGTGAAGGTCAAAATCAGAGCCAGCTCATAACATGCCTCAACAGTGACAAACATGTCATCAGAAGAGATCAGAAAGCATGAAATAGAAGCATTAGCCCTATTATCCAGGAAATTGCCTTTCTGGCTTCACAAGAGGCTTCTACATTACAGCCTACATGAATGAAAATGCATTTGCAGCTTATCTGGATGTACACTTCTATACTTAAAAAACAAAAAAGCATCTCTGGCTCTGTATCCAACCTCAGCTCTGTGTTTACTGAATATAAATACAGTTACTACTTTAAGGTCCATGTATTGGCAATGATGCTTCAGGGTCTATTAATACCGGGAGTCTTATCAGGCTGTAGCTGCCCACAGATAAAAACTCAGCTCGATATTCCACTAAGTTACTCACATTACAATGGCCTCTTGCACCACAAGGTCATTGCAAGTCCCTGAAGTCTCCTTATCTCCACTCCCATGTGTATTACACTGGACGTGTGAGTTCCGCAAATAAAGTCGTATGTTTATGTGTGTGTGTGAGCAAGGTAAAACATCAGCACTTTCAAGACTTAAATGACGGACAACTGGAAGCGTTTAAATGCAATCATATTTATTTTGTTATCTTGTCTGCCACGTATAAAAAAAGGCTCAGATTGCAGTTAAGTCTTCACAGAAGAAGCTTCATTCTTCACTAAAATGTGAAAGCAGAACACGTTACACACACACAGGTAAAGAAATCAAAAATCCTAGTTGTACATGATAAATTTCTACATCACTGAAATTATTTAACACATCTTCGAACATCAGTTTTATCACCCACTTAGGAAATTAACATAAAAATAATGGCATGACTGGTGTGATTTACAACATGAGGACAAATATATTAAGCGCCAACAATGTAGTTGTTTTTTTTCCAGAATAAACTGTTTAATAAATTAAACAATTAACCTATAGATTTTCTGAGCTTAAATCACTCAAATATTGTGGGGAAATAATTACGTAATTTTATAAATATATAATCCATCTAATTTCAATGAAAAAAAAATATCACACCTACTTTATCTCTAATTTGATTTAATTATATTTTTACCAAATCTATGACAGCAAATTGGAGTGATTTCTTAAAACAAATAACAACAAATCATTTAACTACATTGTAGCAAAGCGTATTGACAATACCAGTAAATACATGTTTATCCAGAATATAAATGATTGTTTGTGTGTGCCACAAAAATAATTTCTTAATCAGACATTTGGACTTTATCAGAGATCATTTGCCACTAAAACACTGAATCGTATAGTTATATATCTCTCATTTTGCAGAATATAATCACTACACAGTAAAACCTAAAATTAAGGATCATGTAGAAAAAAAAGGAAGACAACAGCAACATAAAAGGGAACAAAAAGCATGTGTGCATGTCTACACACCTGGTTGGTCACCACAAGCATCAACCAATCAGCCCCCTCAGTGGTCCGTTCAGTGGAGCGAGGCAAGCTGATGCTCTTTACCCATAAACCCCTCTGTTCTGTGCTTTATTCTGAAGCAGGGAGAAGGGTGGAGGTGGGGGCACAACAACAGGGGGTCCGATCAGGGAGGACAAACTCTGTCCCAGGTCCCATTATCACCACACAGCACCACAAAGATAGTGTCCAGTTTCTGAGTTTCTGGCCAGCCCAGTCCAACTCCAGTTAAACCAGTTTGATCCCAGTAGGGGGCGCAGGAACCCTGCTTGACTATTCCAGAATATTCCAACATTTCCTCCTAAAACACCTTTATTTCCAAAATCTAATTAGTCGAAAAAGTTTACCATGTTTACTTTAATCAGATGCAAATGGCACGGTTAAAAATGTGTCACTTATTTATGTCTAACAATGTAAAGAAGAAACAAAAGCCACCAGCTTAATGACTGCCCTCCAACCTGAGCCACTCTGTACAGTAGTACATGTTCATTTGGCCACTTTTTTAAAAAAAGGCAGGTCCTCGAGAAGGAGTAAACGCAAAACAACGAGTAGAAAATGAGAAACAGAGATGAAAAAGTGAGAGAACTTGTTTGGAACGATTCCTGACAGACTCATTGTTCTCCTGGCATCAGAGGAGGATATGACGAGGCCTACGAGTGATATTCTGTGTTACTACTTACACAACGGGTGGTGGGAGAAGAAAAACAACAAGACATGAATCACTGTGATTCGGCGTGTCGGTCCCTGAGTCACTGTGGCCCCGTTCTGGAGAAGTCGCACCGAGTCTTTCTCAGGTAAACCGGCCACAAGGTAATGTGTGTGTCATTTGCAGTAGCTTAGCATAGATTGCATCGTGTCATTCACTGTCTGAGCGTAGATTGCATTGTGTACTTGAACATCCGAGTAAATGTCTCCCGGCTCCCGGCAGGGAACGGGTGCGAGGTCGGCGGTGAGGACGGACGGAAGAGGGTGAAGTCAGGTAGTCAGCAGGAGGAGGACGAGGGTGAGGAGGAGTGGAGGGGAAGCTATCCTCAGTGAGCAGGCGCCACTTCCACGTACAGTTTCTGAAAGAGAGAAGGAAACTTTATGAATTAAACTGTACGTATGTGATACACTTTGTGGCCAAAAATATGTCGACACCCTTGTGACTTCTGGTCTGTACCAGTTTTCCTCGACATCATAATTTCAATTTAATAACTTATTTTTGTTTTTTTTTTGCTTTTTTTCTCTTTGCCTTTGTTTGATAGTACAGACAAAGAGTGACAGGACAGGGGGAATAAGTAGAACGACATGCAGCAAAGGCCCCAGTTGGGAACTGAACCCAGGCTGCTGCAGTCAGCTTTAGTACACTGGGCACACGCTCTATCAGGTGAGCTACAGGGCACCCCAAAATTTCTGAAAATCTCAATTTTACAGCATATTAGAGACAATAACGTGCCTCCTAACTTTGTGTCATCTGTTTGTAGAAGGCCCTTGATATCTGAATTTAGTGTAGCCATAGAAGAACTTTGCAGAAAGCACCTTAAGCATAACCTGGAACGCAGAGTGCAAGCCAGGCCTTGTATCATTCATGCTCTTGTGGCTCATTGAGTGAAATCTCTGCAGCAAGGTTCCAAAATCAAGTGCAAAATTGATCCAGAAGAGAGATGTTTGTGACAGAATCACATTAATGACCATTGTTTTGGAAGGTTTTTAACTATTACATATATATGTATAGGTGTAACGTTTTGGTGTCCACATACTTTTGGCCATTTTATGTATGAGTATGTTCTCATGCAGTGTGTCTGGGATCCCTCGGGGAATCTCAGAGTGACAGCAGGGGTGCCACCAAATTAATGTTTGATAATTTATGTGTTTTTTTTCCCCAAAAAAATCAAAATATATCTGAATACAAGATATTATTAGCAAACATAAATTGGCCTATTCACGAAAAACAACAACAACAAAAAAAAACATTGAATTTATTGTACACAACATTAAAGGGGAACTTCACCCAATTTCAAAAATTCATACATTTTATTCCTGTGGTCTTAGACTGTCCAAAACTATTAGTAAAAATGAACAACTCTCTCTAAAATCCAAACGCTAGAGTGCTGAAACTCAAATTTGAGATGCCATGAAGTATAGAGTGGAAAGCTGCTCTATAGGCAATGAACGGTGAAATACGTTCTCGATGACACTGAGAGCTCCCAGGGGAATGTTCTGAGTACATGGGTACATTTTCTGTTTCAGAACTGAGAACACTTTAATAGAATAAAGCTCATCTGGCTCCACAAAATCAGGCTCCAATTCATTGTCTATGGAGCAGCTCCAGACTTTATACTTGATGACATCACACGTTTGAGACTTCCTTCTCTGGTTTCTGGCTCTGAGTGAGAGTTGCTCATGTTCACAAATGCTGACAGAACTTTTGTCGGCCATGGTAACGATATATTCCCCTTTTAACGACTATGCTAACTGTTACCCATGAATCCTTGTGCAAATGTGTGCGCTAGCTAGTGAGCTGTATTATTATTCAAAGTGTACGGACATTCTTGTGAGCCACAGTGGATTGTATTGTAACTTTTCGAGCAAGAGACTCTGAAACACCGTCTGCAGAGGGTGAGGCTAATGCACCTAGCCATGCTACACCTGCTGAGTTAGCAGCTACAGCCAAGTGCAAATGAGAAGGTCAAATAAATGCTCAGAGAGTTATCTCAAGTGCAACAGTAAATGTAGCAGGAGCTCCCTGTTCTGTCTCTCGTTGAGCGAAAGGGTCTGTGGCCTGAAAACGCCGAGGACCCCTGCTTTAACTGATTCACAGTAACAAACCACATTTGAACTTGAGACAGACGAACAAAAAGATACAGAAATAGGACATATGCAACACAGCATGTCAATGTTCCTATGCTTAAGACTAATTTGGGTTTTGAAATGTTGCATCTCACCTTGTATTTGCTTTGAACCCTCTGATGCTGTAACAGGAGAGAGAGGAGAGAGAGAAGAGGAGGGAGAAGATTTAAATAAAGTTGAGGCGAAGAAACAAGTTGCTGATTAGTCATTTTTGCATGCTTAACTTTCTCAATAAAGCTGCTGCTTTGTGGAACAAAAGGAGCAAGAAACAGACAAATGACCAGGGGAAGGTATTTACCATTACTCAACGCCTTACGCCATGAGTATTGACTGGCTGTGCAACCCTAAATATGTCCCCTATGCAAATTCTCTTAAAGGTCGGATAAAAAAAGCGCTTGAGAAGCATGGCAACAGGAAAAGATGGTGTTATGTAAATGAGGAGGAGTAAGAATGATCGAGATTATACAGAGGGGGGATACAGGAAATGAAAGAGAAGGGGGTAAGAAACACGGGAAAATTCAAAATGACAGAGCGAAACCAAGAAGTGGACAGAAGATGAAAGGGAGACCCGAGTGAGAGAGTATGGCGGAGGGGGGAAAAAAAGAAGGTTGGAAAGATTGAAACAAGGTCAGACAGAGAGAAAAGGGAGGGAGAGAAAGAGACGGGATAGGGGGGTGTTTGTGTCTGGGCGTCACTTTCTCAGCAGGGGGCGGACTAAAAGGAAATAATGGAGGGACGGATGGAGGGATGGTGAGGATGAAGGGATAGGGAGGGGTGGCAGAGCTGGTGAGATGAGGGAAAAGGACAAAAAAAATACAGGTGGTGAGACTAAAAAGCGGAAATGGTTAAAACCCCTCAGAAAAAGGAACCGCTGTGCAACGTGAGGATGAGGGAGGATGGAAGGGTCAGGAGACGGGGATGAGGCTGCACAACTGCAGCTGCCATTAAATCGATCTACGGCCTTGAACCCACCTCTGACACTGCAAACCCAAAGCCTCAAACGCACATGTGAAGACAAAGTGTGTATTGATGTCTCCGGGAAAACCACCACCTATCCACATGATCCCACTGCGACTGACTGAGATTACAAGACAGGAAATGGGACACTCGAAGCTCATCTGTTGTACAGTCACCACAGAGGGAGAAAGGATTTATTAAATGAGGGCTTAGCGTCGAAACGATGTGTTTGTCTGCAATATCCATCTCGCACCTACAGGTCTCTGCAGCAACATGTCGCTCTGGCAGACATGAGACACTAAATTACTCCAAGGTTCTGTACAACTAACGACCATCTAGGGGTTAACGAAGCATTAAATAGCATGCTGGGCTCGGGCCTCTTGCTGAGCCCGTGTGTGTGCATGTGTGTGTGTCTATGCGGCTGTAATTGTTGAGTGTTTGTGGAGAGGAAATCAAAGCAAACACAAGAGAATAATACTCAGACATTTCAGGCTTTAAACAGAGCTGCCGCACAAAACGGAACAAAAAAAACTTATCATCGTGTTCATTTTTTAAATTGAAAAATAAGGCAGTTCTGCTATCACTACATGTTTTAATGCAATCTGACGACCAAAGAATATTTATTAATTAGCTCTCCTTTCAAGTTTAAATTGTGTTGATAAAACTAAAGCATAAAAATGTGTACAATTTTAATTAATAAAGCATTTTAAATGTTTTGCAAAACTTGCAAAATGATTCATCAGAAAAATATTTTAAGTCCTTGATTTTAGCGAGTTTTTTTTCTTTCATTTTGGATATTTTGGATGCAGCAAACACCACTGTAAAAACAATTATATTATGACAATTACAGATATGCTTTAAATCAGACTTATAATTTACTTGGTGTAGGAAAAACACTTTACTGAACAGCATCGATCAGCGTGTGTGTTTAACGCCACGCCGCCCTGCGAAATTAAAATGTTAAATGCCTTATGTTTACCCGGCTGTGTGTGATATGTGTGTTTTGACCCGACTTTAATCACATAATTTTTCGCACAAGCCGAACATGCAGGACCACTAGTTTGTGTCAGCATCATCATTTTGGTCATGGTGAGCTCCGCCGCAAAATGGCGTCCGCGGTGGCGTGACTGCAAGAGCAGTGTCGTCTCTGCACTGCAGTCAGAAACATGCAGCGTGTGTAACTGTACATGCACAACCGTGGCTAAATGTGTGAGTGTGTGCGCGTGCCAGTGTGTGTGTGTGTGTGTGTGTGTGTCTCCAGTCGGCAGAACGCCCCACTGCAGAGACAGACAGTGTTCCACCATCCCACCTCTCCTCTCGTGCCGCCATTTTACACACGCAGGAGCTAATGCTAGCCGACCCTGACTGTTAGCACTTTACTAAAAATGAGAAATAAAACAAAGATGCGAAACGGCGAATGTAAGAACGCAAATCGTCGAAAGCGGTTAAAGTCAAAATTTTGAGAGTCGAGTTTGGGATCTGAGAGAGCTCGTCTGGGCAAGCGGTGTGTGTGTGCGTCTGTGTTCGAGTTTTGTCCTTGTGTGTATCGAGTTCAGGGGGTACAAAGGTATTTGGGAGAGAGTGGAGGGGGTAAAGGAGGGCAGCGATGTAAGAAATTTCTAAAAAAAAAAAAGAAAGAAAAAGAAAGGGAGAGAAAGAAAGTGGGGAAAATGGTGAAGCTCTGCAAACTGAAATGAATGCAATGGACTGCTCACAGCGGGAGGACGACAGAAAAGAGGAAAAGAGAGACGGAGAGAGAACGGGAATCAATTAGAGAGAGAGGGAAGTTGGTCTATAATGGTTTCTCACAGTAGGACGGCGGTGAAAGAGAAAGGCAGAGAGGCAGAGCGACAAGAAGAAGACGAGAGATAAACACAACAGGAGGAGTTTTAGGGAGAACTTGCAGGGGAAAAAAAAAAAAACCCACACCAAGTATGGAGTGAGAGGTGAAGCGAGCCGGTGAAAGATGCAATAGAGGGCTGCAGGGCGCTGGAGATTTCACATGACACCAGTCTTGCTGATGCCGATTCAGAGCCTTGTTTTCTGATGCAACGCGGGCTCAAGCACCTTTCAGCAAAAGCACTTTTCTCTGGCGGGATTCGTGACAGTGTTCAAATAAACATCACCACACACATCACTACACCGAAAAACATCACCAAAACCTAAAAAGCCAAAACATGCTTTTCAGTGCTGCGAGCAGAAACCAGGATGAGGAAACATTAGAGACACACACACACACACACACACACACACACACACGGGATGTCATTAAAAGCATCCTGCGTCACTGAATCTGTCCTGCGTGGTTTGTTGTGTTCTTGGGTTAAATTAAGGCGATAAACACACACGTTCACACACCGGAGAGGAGACTGAGGGACTGGCGAGTTGTAGCTGACCTTGGAGCAATGACAGCGTACCTGACGGACCCTCTCACTGTCATCACTCTGTCCTTCAGACCCATGTGAGGCAGGTATGTATGTGTGTGTGTGTGTGTGTGTGTGTGTGTGTGTGCATGTGGGCTAGCTAATAATTAATTCAAACACCCACAACAGGGCATCCCCACATGGAAATACCGTTTAATCACATGCTTTCTGGAAGGGAAAAAAAAAGTTTTTGGGGAAGAGAAGGAGGGAGGGAGGTGAACAGTTTGAAGTTTAGATGAGAGATAAGATGTTACTGAAGGACGAGAGGCTGCTATCACCGAGGGCCACACACACACACACACAGGCACGGTGCGCCCTGCTGCCATGCTACCTGTCAGATAAAAGGGAACCTGAGCAGGAAGGAACCAGAGGGTATGTACTGTAAGGTGTTACCACGGGGAACAGCACAACCACAGCTGTGGTAAACCGCCACTAATGGACAGTCGAGGAGAAAGAGTGCAAGAGAGAGAGAGACCCCTCCGACTCCCCTCCGTCTCCTCTCTCATCCATCTCGTTCGCGCTCCTCTCTCTGGCCTCATGCATCCTCATCCCGACGCGCTCGCCGCACAGCATGCGCACGACAGAGATGGAGCGGAGCTGAGAGACGGGGGAGAGGGGAGTCGGTGAATAACTGTGTTGTAGATATGGAGATGCAACAAAAAAGAAAGAGAAGACACAGGGAAAGGTGGAGGAGGAATGGGGGTGGTGGTGGTGTTGGTGGTGGTGGTGGGGCGGAGTCAAGGGGGAGGGAGGAGGAAGTGTAAGAGACTGCCATGGATGGTGCCTAGATTAGTTTTGCTCCAGTAGCGAAAGATCATAAAAAATGAGGAAGGGAGGAGAGAGCTGAGGAGACAGAGAGAAGGGGAGGATTAGTGCCACTTCAGGAATGACAGAAGACTAGAAAGAAAGAGCGGGAGGCTGGAGTGAAGGGGAGGGAGGGGGGGAGTGGAAGACAAGGAGAGGGAGATCCTGACATTTAGTTGGGATTAGTTTTGGTTAAGGAACAGGATGAGAGGGAGAGAAAAAAGAACGAGGGACGGAAACAGTACATGGAAGTATGTGCATCTTTGTCACTGGAAGTCTTTCTCATGTAAAATAATGGGCTTTAACAGTAAAGTCAAGTGTGTGTGCATGTGTATAGTAATCCAGGTGATTCCAAATATTTTGATTATTCCCAGGCTCAGGCAGGCTGATCAGGGGAATACCGTGAGAAGGTCAGAAGACTGCATTAGCATTTCCTCTCTGAGCAACTATCTGTGGTATTTCTAATTAATGACAGCAGGATAATTAACATATAAAAAAAAGTCATCAGCCTTCACTCTGGTAATAACGCAGCAAATTAGTCCCCGTCTCGCGCCGGAACAGTGATGGCATTTAAGGATTCATTCGAGACGGATGGGGCTCTTTTTTAATTCCGGTTTTTAATATTTCTCTTTCCTTGTCGCCAAAGTGACACGAATTTAATCAAGGCGGCGTGGTCGGGAGGTATTCGTTGGACGACATGTAGGAATTTAGTGAATGGTTCTCACATGCAGAGACAAACAACCTTGTGTGCAGCTTTTACTGCAATAATAATAATAAAAAAAAAGAGTGTGTGTTGATTCAGCCTGGGACATCGCGACAAGCCCCCTGCAGATAGCGCTGGGATGGGAACTGGGACAGACGTCTCGGACACGCATATGAGGGGGCGCACACAGAGAGAGCCAGAGAGCACACGCAAAGGCCCATGCAGGAGTGCACTTGAACACAATGTCCACAGACACAGAAAAGTGTTCATACACGTAGAAATGCCCACAGACACACACACACACACACACACGCGCACACATACACCAACAACTGTACAGGGATTCCCACAGTGACTGGGCAACATTCCCAACCGGAATGGGCAGCTCACTGGACTGGAAGACTAACATTACTCCAGGCGCGCTCTGGATTAGATCAACTCTGGGAATTTCACACTGGGACAGAGAGATGGAGAGTGGGAGAATGAAGGAGACAGGGAGGTTAAAAAAAAAAGGAAAAGAATGGAGGGAGGGGTGAGGGAAGACGAGAGAGAGAAGAGAGGGAACTAATGCTTAAAAAACCCTCAATCCAATTAGGTTTAAAAGCCGATGTGGAGTGGAGAGTGGAGTAAGTCTCATCTTACAAGGTTAAAGATAATACAAGATTCTGAAGGGTAAAGATGAATTTAGCTTCCTTGATAAAAGTGGAGAATTAGAGCATTGCAGCTATTCAGAAGGAGAGGAGGAAACAGAAGGAGTAGTGGTGGGGATGAGGAGCAGTCTAAACATCATGCCCTGGTAGTGGAGATGAGAGAGGCAGAGAGAAGAGTCTCGTGGTGTACAAAGGGGAAGCATGAAAGGAAGAGGAGATGAAAAGAGGAGTGTACTCACTGGGCTCGCAGCACACGGTGACACGCAACTTCATACATGGCAGAGGAGGGCCTTCATCTGCCGGTAGAGCTAGAAAGAACGACGAGATGCAGACAGAGAGGGAGCTTTAAATATGCTGCTTATCTGTTCAGCCCAACAAATGGTTAGTATTCAAAACGTGTCAAATGAAAACAGAAATTTGCACATGCTGAATCAAATCTTTCTATCAAATCGACACTTTTGAGAACTCTCCTGGTACTTTTGAAGAATTCTCGTGACAAGTGAAGCTAAAGAGCAGCGAGGTTTGTTTTTCTGTTGCTGCCAATATCAGAACACCGTCTCCCAATGTCACACAGACACACTTATCTCCACAACTAAATAAAAACAATAAAACACGCAATTGAGAGTGTGACCATAAAAACAAAAAAAGAAACCGCTGCAATATCAATACTGATCACGGCTCATGCGAGAAAACAGGCGAACATCAGCTGCATTACCTGTCAGTTTAGCATTGCTTTTACAAAACAAATCTGTCTGGAAAGTGCAGTTACAGGGGCTTTATATTTGAATTATTCACAAACAGCTGCTAACTCAACAGGGACCCACCGCACAAGCTGAGTGTATGATCGCTAACAGTCTGTCTCACTTTGTATCTGTGATTTTAACTGATAGGATGCAGCATGGAATAGCAGCGGGGCCGTGTTATACGGCGCCGTCGACGGTGGCTGAGAGAGCTCAACTCACACAGACAGAACATCTTCATTTTGACAGCACAAATAAACGAAACAAAAGCAAAGAGAGGAGCATGTTCACCAAAAACACAGACGGAACAAGCAAATGCAGAGATGCTGCAAGAGGTGCGCAACACAACAAGAGTGGGTTCCAACACAGTTTCCAGACACACACTAAAATCTGACCAACATGCACCCACATGCGAACTGTTAAACATTACCACTTGTCGGTGATGTTGGAAGATGAGCTAATGATGTTTATGTCACTCTAACAAAGCAAATCTTTACTCAAGGTCTGCGTATAAGCTTCTCTCTGTAGATTCCACCTTAAACCTTAAAGGTCTAGTGTGCAGGATTTCATTGCATTTACCTGTGAGGTGTGACAATGCAAAAACGCGATTGGCCATATCTAAAGCCAGTGTTTGGTTTGTCCATTCTGGGCTACTGTAGAAACAACATGGCAGACTCTGTGGAAGAGGACCCGCACTGACTGTAGACACAGACGGTTCATTCTAAGGTAACAAAAACGCAACAATTCTTATTTTCAGGTGATTATAAAGTAAAGAAAACAGAGTAATGAATATTATATTCCATCTCTGCTAATATATCCCCATAAATCCTACACACTGGACCTTTACTTAAAGTCCTCCTCCTTTCAAAAATGTGTTTTGCCTGTTGTTGTTGCTACAGTGAGCTTCACTGTGCAGAATGAGTGTTGAGGAGTTTGACCAAAGAAGGCTGTTTTCACGTTCATCTGCTAAAGGAGGAAAGGTTTCTCTGAGCTCACCTTAAATTTCAGTTTAAGACATGTATGTACAAGAATGGTTTTGTGACATAACAACAAGTTTGAAAGCCAATCATGATCCAGGGAGTGTGATTTAGAAATGTGGAATCTCCAGTGCACATCAAGCCTTCAGGAACAATGCTGGGCTTTGATGCCAATTTGACATAGTGGCCAAACTGTGTAACTACAACCTTTCTTGGTCCATTCAGTGACGCCATTGGGCCCAAAAATGCTTTTTTCCCCATATACTCACATTGGGAAAGCGACATCTGTAAATCATTGGATACATTTTTTTGAGCATCACCCACGTGAAATGGCTCTTTTTATCTCTTTTTATTATCAGGATTTCATCCATTCGGTCTGATAACATTTCATAAGTCTAGAAGAGCCACATGATTAATCATTTTATCTCTATTCAAGTTAGTGGTGGGTAAACAGAAGTTTGCCACGCAGTCGGTGATGTCTCTGGTGCGCTTGCTCTATGGGCCCAATGATGCGCACAATCCGGGTAATTTTATTAGCAGGAAGTCAAACTTTTTTTGGCTTCATGTGCCACTGAACAACTTTCATCAGAATGAATGGGGCCCAGTTCTCTCTATACACTGAGAATGGACTTTTCAGTGAAGAGACGTCTTGTGCACAGCATTTAAATTTTTGATATGATCAATATTTGCACATTTATAGATACCATATATTTTTTTTTTTTTACATCTGAGAGAAGTAGAGGATGAAAGTAGTTTATTGTACTATTTAAAAAAACATACTAGAAAATTATCATAATGGAGAATTACTGTATTCAGAGCAGAGCATTCTTGTATCAAAGAAAAACTTCACTTGCAAAATGACCATCTGTTTATCCCCTACTTACCCTGTGTTACCATTGGTCTCAAATCACATGCTTCCATTAGTACACTAGTAAAGGGTAGTGTTGTGTCAAACAATTAGCTAGTTCGTAAACTGGCATTAACATCTGTGTTATCGTTCGCGGTACCAAATCATTACAAACTGCTAAATTAACCCAATAAACATACTGCTGGCTTACACCCGACAACAGTATAGTGGTGCTTAGTGCAAAAAACACACGTATTGTACAATGCAGCTACGTTCACGGTCGCACAGTCCTCGGCTGCTATTTCCAGTTTGAGAAGTGGTCCCTCCCTTTGCGCTACGTAGCCAAGATGGCGACCACTGAAGGCGACAAATGTCCATAGTTCCACACTCAACTTTTTGACTGTTTTGAGTGTACCATCCGGGTACTCATAGTGCACTGCATTTTTCCATACTTCTCAGTGTGAACGCACTTATGCACTTAAAATATTAAGTGTAAGAACAGAAGTACGCGATTTGAGACACAGCACATGACTTTGTGAAGAAAACATTGTTTTTGAATGAAGAACCCAAAAAAGGAGAACTTTCTTCATTAATTAAAGTAAACGGGGACTGCCTTTAAAAACCACAAGACTAAATCAAAACATCCATTTACAAACTCTCACACAACTCATGCAGTGTAATCCAAGTCTTATTCATCCAGTCGTATGCTCAGTACTTTCCATAACACGTGCATACTCACTAAAACATTACGATTTACAACATGTCGGTACAAACTGCCTCAGGTATGGACGAGCAGCTTGAATTTTGCATTTGAGCTCAGAGTTCAAACACACATGCGTGTCCAGGCACACTCAGGGCACGCTACTCATAGGTGGAGGTGTACTGCGCATACGACTGGATAAATGAGACTTGGATTATACAGCAGGGGTTCTGTGAAAGTTTTAAAGGATATTTTAATATACTTTTTGCTGTTGTTAAATTCTCATGTAAACTCTGTCAAATGTTTTTGTTCCATTTACAGTGGATGTGTGTTATGATGTGTAATTTAGTGGATTGTGTTTAGTGTTTGGTGTGAATGTATGTTTTTTACTGTCACCATGTAACTGTGTAGACCCCAGGAAGAATAGCTGCTGCAATGCAAAAGCTAATGGGGATCTTAATAAACAAACAAACAAAGGATGTTTGCCTCTTTTGGATTCTCTGTTCATTGTGGTGGCATGCAAAAAAACACCACCAAGGGGTTCTTCACAAATTCAAGGTAACAAGTGGTGAATAATTAATATGAGCTGGTCATTCTGTGGGTGAAGTCTTCCTTTAAAACACGTCTTAAGGGGATCTTAAGAGTTGTTTTGTCAGACTATTATTTCTAAGCTTAATATTTTGTTTCGTTTTAACAATGTGATCACATAATTAAGTGTTTGACTTTGACTAAGTGCATTTTTCAGTTTTCGCTGGCCCCTGGAAACGTTGCCATCCCCTCAAATGGCTCTGTGTTAGGAGCAGCTGACTATCAGAGGATGTCAAGGTGTTTCCTGTTTGTGGGATCTGGACATGGAGAAGCAGCGGGCGTCGGTCAGAAGGTCGGGCAGAGTCCCAGAGACAGTAGGCTGTCAGTGTCATAGTCTGTGGGAGCCGTCGAGAGGAGCTGAGCCCGGCTCAGACTGAGCCAACTAATGCCATTAGTGTTTCTAATACTATTGTAGTGTTCTCCCAGGCTAATGCCATTATACTGTCTCCAGTGCTGCGGGCCCATTCAGCCCACAGACCCCAGAGCCAGACATTTGGACCAACTTTACGCCTTATCTTTGATGTGGACAAAACACACACAATCGCTCGGAGCCCGATGTGGCCCGACCAGGGGGGAGACACCCATTGTTGCTTTTCTCTGAACTGGCCTGAACAACCACAATAGCCCAGTGTGTATGTGTGTACATATATACATGTGTGTGTTAGAGTGTGTGTGTGTGTGGAAGCGCTCTCTCATGCCCTCACAATGCTCCATTGTCCCTTGGACCGCAACAGTAATTTATGTAAAGATTCTTTCTTTCTCTTCGTCTCATCCATCCCTTTGCTCCGTCGCTTTTGTTGCTCTCCCTTTTCTTTCTCCAGTGTGGATTCCTCTCATCCGGCCTCTCTCGTCCCTCTGTCCCCCCCTCCCCTCCCCTTCCTGTACTGTCAGACTGTGTCCATCTTTTGCTCTTTCTCTCTCTCTGTCACTCCTCCACGCTTCTCTACCTCCGTCTGCTTCTCTGCCTGCCTCTTTTCCCCGCTCCTCACTGTCGTCCTGTATTGATCTCCATTTCTTCCTCCTACACTTTGCGGTCCCTGTGTCTCTTTGTTGTCAACCCTTCCATACCATGCATTCACTTGACTCTTTCATTCTCTGCCTTGTTTCATGTCCTCCCCCTCTTGGTTGGACTGACACCACAAGTTGTAAAAAGTAAAAAAAAAAAAAAAAGAAAAGCTGATTTTACAGCCACTAAGCCATCTTCTGTGTCTCTCCCTCCCTTTTCTCCCTCCAGTGGTTTGAAATAAATGAGTGAGGGGAGAGGAGCACGGGAGAGTGTAATGGGAAAAGAGGAAACCATCACTATAATTGTGTAACAGCCTACAGGTTTAGGAAAACATCAAATTAATGTCATTCAGTGTGAATTTATGGAAAACATTAATGCTGTAAGCTGCAGTTTCCAGACACTCAAAGCCTCATAAAAAACACATCGGCTAAAGTTGCTCTCAACCTTCTCATCCCGGCTGCCCAGCCACCACACTTCTTTCAACACAGGTGTCTTTGCACAGCCTGATGAACTGAAACATCAAATATTTACATCTTTTCTCTTTTCGGGCTGTTTTACTCGGCTTCCAGTGTGCGGAGCCTGAAGCGAATGTTCATTGCTTCACTGGAATAGAAATTTCCCACAAGAAAGTAAGTGATAATGCACTTTGCATATAAAAACACATACCTTTTAGCCATGTATTGAACCTCTACACTCTCTGAGGAACGACAGGAAACTAATATGCAGCTTGATTAATAATTATTATCAATAGGCAGTGCTGCTGAAGCAGATTATCTGAGTCTGTGGTGTTTAACTCCTGGAGTTAAGGTTACCTAAGGATAGGATGTTAAACAATTTAAGCTGTTTTCAAAGCTTCCACTCCGTTTTTTGCTGATTGAGTCTTAAATATTTTATGTTACAGTGAAATACTTGAGATCTCAACCCAAGTTTTAAAGGGCTTGAAGTCATTTTTCAAGCAGTAATTCCGAGCATCACCTAGTTTCAGCTTCTTCACTGCAAGAATATGTCACTTTTCTTTTCCTTATGCAATGACACTATGAAAATCTTTTGATATTTCACCACTGAATGGACAAAATGGGCAATTTGAAGGTGAAATTACTATTTTAGGAAACTGTGATGGACATTTTTCACTATCCTTTAGTATTTCATGGACAATTAACGGTTTCCATCAGAAAATGGTCAACAGATCAATCGATAATCAAAATAATTTGCAGCGCCTACTGGTGGAAATGTGTCTGACACAAGTGTGAGTATCATAGACTCTATATCAAGACGGGCAACATGACAGCAAGCAAATACATCTCAACAGCGCCCTGGTGGCTGGCTGCAGTTTCAAACATAAACCCCACCGCCTCCATGTTAGCAGTACACGTCTAAAAGTACACGTCAAATTGTTACAAAAGATGGTCTATGTCATTTTAGGTCGTTCTTGTCATGCTGCTTTAAGTTCAAGTGTTCATTTCTTCTGACAAGGTTGGTTTTAATGAGTTATTTAGTGCTATAAAAAAGGAGTGTGATGTCATGATTAAAAGCTATGTGTGGCAATGGGTGTGCTCGCGATTAATGAAGCTGCTCGTTGTTGGTTGGAGGGCAGGAACTCGATACCTCGGAGATCGCTACTGCACAGATCCTGTCCCCAAATGACATTACCAATGCAAGATGGCAGCGGCTGTATTTGAGATTTTTTGGCTTCATTTTTGTGCAGTGGGAAGAAGTGGAGACACATTGTGTATCTCTGTATACAGTCACTGATGAGTGTCAACAACCTTTGAGTAAAATGAATTTTAAATGAACCTGCATGAAAATTCAGGACCGTTTTGGTACCTGTATCAAACTAGAAGGGCACTCTACGAATGCAGACTTCTGCCAAGGCCAAATGCCCTATCACACAACATTAACACAAGCAAAAAATAATTTGTGGATATGCTCCAAAATGAAATGGGTTCTCTCCTGGCCCATGCTTCCATGAAACTCGGGCCAGTATCGTAATCCTGCTGACGAACAAACAAACCAAAAACATAACCACTTTGGTTGAGGTACATGAGACCCACTTGAATCTCTAACTAACTGAATCCCCTAGCTAAATGATCCCCAACCACCACCTCCACAGAAACACACTCATCCTCTACTCACAGCTGTAGTAGTAGTGTCGCCCTGGAAGAAACTCAAACCCCAGCGAGAACGGGGTGAACCTTTGGATCTTCTCAGAGAAGCGTACTGGTCCAAACGGAGCGTAAGGCGTGTTACACTCCCACCTCTTGATGGCCCCTCTGGTCTCTACGCAGCCCTGGAAAGAGGCCTCTCCCACCAGGTAGAGAGCCAGCGTCTCCGGCTGCTCGAGGCCATGGCTCCCCTTGTTGGGGTAATGTGGGCAGTAAATGTCCAGGTAGTCATTCAGATTTACCTGGATGGACAGATCTCCTCCTGTTAACCTGGAAAGGAGAACGACAACGACATTAATATTTCACGTAACGATTACACAGAGTAATACATGACTGAAGGGGAAAGGGAGGCGGTGATTAAGCGCAGACGGAGAGAGAAGGAAGACAGATGACAGATATTCCATAATTCCTTTGTGCCTGGAGGAATGTGGATAGTTACAGCAGATGGATTGTTCATCAATATTACACATAACGATTACACAGGGAGATAAAGCAAAGTTGTGCAGGTCTTAAAGAATGTTTTACTATCTAGTATATTGCAATAATACGACTGCACTTTACTTCTTAACCAGCAAGGGAGCGGTGTTGAGCGACAGATAGCGAGAACAACAATTCCTCATATGCTAATTAAGACCGTTGAGGAGAGTTCAGTGTAAAATAAACTCGGCTCCCTCCGCTCTCCACTCTCCCACCGCACAGCACAGATATACAAACTTATGCGGACGTGCGTGCGCATGCACAATCACGTCTTCAGTCAAGGTTGACTGGCTTTAGGCATAACAACAACTCTGGACAAGACAGCATCATTAGAACAGAAAAGCTGCATAATGCATGCTCCTTTAGACTGCAGATTCTGACTTCCTGTCAGCCGCAGTATAAAGAGTTACCCGTGTACAAACTAATATTGAGGAAGAGGGTGTGTGAGACAGATTGACGGAAGTCGATGGAGGATAAAGTCAGAGGGGCGAATTCAACATGAGGAAATCATAGGACTGTTTGAATCATAACGGCATGAAAAGACAAAGCAGGAGACAATAATTCAGAGGAGAAATGTGTGACAAAGTAATGTACAAACTAAAATGGAGGAAACTAGTGCGGAGGAAGAGGGGATGAGAGAAAGACTGAGGGAAGTCGATGTAGGACAAAGTACAAGGGGAGCACTCAAAGACAAAAGACAAAGCAGGAGACAAATGAGGAGAGAAAATTGTACAAACTAATGTGCAAATAAATATGGAGGAAACTAATGTGGATGCGAGAAAGATTGAGGTCGATGTATGAATCATAACTTCAAGAAAAGACGAAGCAGGAGACATTAAATAAGGAGAGAAAAACTAATGTACAAACTAATATGGAGTGGAGGGAGTGGGGATGCGAGAAAGATCAAGGGAAGTTGATGTAGGACAAAGTAAGAGGGGTACATTCAACATGAAGAAATCATAAGACTTCGTATGAATCATAACGGCATGAAAAGACAAAGCAGGAGACAATAAATGAGGAGAGAAATGTGTGACAAATGGAGGGAGGGAATGTGAGTGATGGAGTGACATGAGACGAGGCCTAGAGGAAGGCAGATGGAGACTGATGAAACGAGGGCTGTTGAGACAGGTTAGAGCAGAGAGCTGGAACAAAAAAGGAAACCAAGAAAGCCAAAAGAAGGAGGAAAGTTGGATGAACAGGTGAAAAAAGAAAAGTGGAGTAAAGAGGAAAAGAAAGTAAAGTGTTTTAATTAGCGACCCCAGAGAGTCTGAGTGCAGACACACAGAGAGGAGAACAACGGAGTGGAAGAAAGCGAGGAGACGGACTTTAATTGGGCTCCTCTTTGCACGGAGCGAAAAGAATGAGGGGCAGAATGTGGCTTGGGCAGAAGGTTCAGGTCCATCAGTGGGAGTCTTTATAGAGGGGTGACAGAGCGGAGGAGAGAGGAAGGGAGTGCTGGGAGTCAGTGAAGGGGAACATGGGAGGGAAAAGGAACGTGGAATGGGGAGGGGTGGATGGCGGCGGACGGCGGTTGTAGTCTCAAGTTAAGTAGGCGGACAGAGAAGAGGCCAAAAGAATAAATAAGAAGAAGAATGAGCGCGGGGAGAGGAGGAGGAGGAGGAGACAGAGCTGACGAAAAAAACTGAAATGAAACAGATAGACATGACAGGAAGCAGGAGACCGAGATGGTCCAGCAAATCTGCAGAGGATGGCAAAGATGGATGGAGCAATGAGAGGAAAAATGACAAGAGACCGGCGGAGAGAAAGGGGGGCCATATGGCACGGCGAAAAGAAAACTGAAATAGAAATCCACGTTAACTTTGAACCCGAATGTGGGCGCAACGGTGCACATTTCTGAGTGAGATAATGGAGCAGAAAAGTGTGTGTGTGTCGCGGGGATGCAGGTGAGACCCTGGAGGCAGGTCTCACCAAAAGCTGCTTCCTGCTCAATAGCTAGCGTGCAGAATTGGCGATCTATCAACGGGACAGGACACCATCGATCGGGATCCCTCGCTCAGGACACACACACGCTCCGTCTGATCAATATCCCCTCTGCGAATGTGTGTGTGTGTGTGGCCACGTCCCAATAGCTCTATTACCTGTGTGTGCTAATTACAGCCGAACAAAGGAACTTGATTGTCTGGTTAAGGGAACACAAAAGCGCATAAGCCAGTGTCATCACGCACACACACACACACGCACACGCACGCACGCACACACACAAAGACACACACGTACTACCTGTGGTGCTTCTGAGGCTTCTCTGAGGCAGAGGAATGTTTACTTAGGTGCACCAGCTGTGGAAGTGTGTGCATGGGTGTGTGCGCGTATGTGCAATGTAATAATAGACGTGTGCTGTGTCAACATGCTGCACCCCCTGCTATACATGTCAGTCACCTCAAGGTTCTTCTGCACTGCTCAGGTCCTGTCCCC